TCGGAACTCGGACGCGGTGAGTGGGGCCCGGCCCCTTGGGGAGCCCCGGCCCGGTCCAGCCGCCGAGCCCGGAGCCCCGCGAGCCCCTGCCCTCATTGCCCGGGCCCTGCCCCTCTGGCCACCTCCGGCCCCCTCCCGCACGGCCAGGCCTCTCGGCCCTCCCCACCTGCCCAGCCCAGCCCAGCCCGACCCCTGGGGGCGCCCCTCTCCCGAGACCCCCTCTGTCCCTCTGCTGGCAGCTTCCGCTCGGGTCTCTTCCCTACAGGAAGCCCCCTCCCCTGCCCGCCAGGAGCCCCTCCCTTATCCGGCGTGCCTAAGCCCCTTCCCCTCCAGCCAGCTGCATCAGACAGCTCGCTCGCTCCTCCGGGATCTGCTGGGCCCCTGACCCCCAAAGGCCGAGCCCTGGCCAGCGCCCAGGAAGCCCCAGCCCAGCCCTCTGCCTGGCTCCGTCCTTCCCCGTCTGGGTGGGGGGGCCCTGCTGCACAGAAGCCCCCCCCCCCCGCCCTTCCCATTCCGGCCCTCCGAGCTGCCGGCCCCTTTAAACAGCGCCGCACAGGAAACGGGCCCACCTCCCCTCTGCACCTTCCTGGGCGCAGGGCCTTCTTTGGTTTTTTTCAAGGTCTCTCTACTCCTAGGCCTGGTCCCCATCTTCCCAGCAGCCCTGACCCCGGATCCCCTGAAACCTTAGGTACTCCCACCGAGGTGCGAACCCTCTCTGGCTTCTTCCTCTCTCAGGAACCTTCAGAACCCCAACTTCCAAGCCCTTGGTCCTGTCTTCCCGTTTCTAGGCCCTGGTCTGGCAGCTCGAAGGCTGCAGCCTCCCTCCAGCGACTCCACGGTTTCTGGCAAGCCACGGCCCACGCCTGCCCAGACCCCTTTCTCATAGGTGTCCCCCACCTCTCCCTTGAACCTCCGGGGCCCCCACCCCTCATCCTGCCTCAAGGCCTCCACCATCCGTGCCAGGAACCCAGCCTCTCATAGAAGCCCCCCTCAGCCCACAAGGCCTGGCCTCAGGCCCCTTCCAGAAGCCTCCTGGGTTAAGCCCACTTCTCCCCCAAACGCCTAAGACTCTTGACACTCTCCCACATTCACATACACAAGCTCAGCCTTGCCTCCCCTGGGATGCCCCTTGCCACTGGAAACTGCTTCCCCTGAACCCCAGGCCCCAGACATCCAGGTTCCCAAGATGGTCCCCCCAGGCAGCCACCCCACCACCACACCCTGTTTCTTCTTTCTAGGTGTTTCCCAAAGATCCTGGGGTCCAGGGGTCCCCAATCCCATAGCGGTGCTCTTCCCGCCAGGCTCAGCCCTTCCCTTGATGCCCAAGCCCCCCATACCACAGCCCAGAAGAGCCCCTGCGCTTCCCCCCCCTCCCCATATTGCTGGCCATTCCCAGCCTTTCTAAAGATTCTCCCACCAACCCATCCCAGGCCCCTTCCTAGCCAGGGTCTTTCCCCCGCCCCACCCTTGACCTTGTAGGGCCTTATCATTTAGGGTCACCCTCACCCCAGGTAGTCAGTCTACCAGAGAAATTCAGTGTTGTCCTTTTTTTCTCCTCCAAGACACCCCCCCACCACCACCACCACCAGCAGCAGC